TCAATTCTGTACTAGACAAGTCTGTATTTAAATCATTTGTTGGTAAGGGAGATAGGCCTTTGATACTCCGCCTATATATCTCCATTGTCGTTCGGACCGTGGCCATGCGGACGACACCATCTTCGCCTGGATGTATATCGACGATGCGTCCTAGTGACCATTGCATTGGTGGTGCGTTGTCATTTTTAATGAGTACGTAAGTCCCGATCCAAATGTCATTTCTTTCTCACTGTCAACTCATGCAAGTATTCTTTGTACCAGCGCTTCCAAAAGTCCTGGTTGAGCTTCTAGATGTGGTGGCAGACTGAGAGACGTGCTGCCGGTACCTGTGCCCAGTCTGCTTCGGGTACGTTTATTAATGAGCCTCCAATGAGGAAATATGCTGGAGTAAGGGGGGTTAGGTTATTGAGATCAGTAGAAATAGAAGTGAGAGGGCGCGAATTAAGGATAGCCTTTATTTCAGTCGTATACATGTGTAGCGCTGAGTAAGAGGGTCTCGCCAACCACACGCACAAAGTGCCTTTTAAATGCCTTAACGGCGGCTTCCCAAAGGCCATCGAAGCGTGGAGATCTAGGAGGTATGAAATGCCATTGTATGGCCTGATCGCTAAGATACCGACTTACTGCATTCTCGCTTGTAGAATATTTTATAGCTTCCCAGTGCCCTTTTAGCTCGCGGTCGGCCTTAAAGAAAGTTGTAGCATTGTCAGAGTATAAGTAGGATGATTTTCCTTTGCACGCGAAGAAACATTTCAAGAAAGCGATGAAAGATTCGGTTATCAAGTCGCTTACTAATTCTAAGTGCACGGCTGTGAATTTGCTACGATTTCGATGACGCTTTTTTTTAATATATAACGGTCCGCAATAATCGACGCCGGTGATTGAAAATGGCCGGTGGTTGATAACGCAATGCCGCGGCAAATCGCCCATGATTTGCCCAGGTATCGACGGATTTGAGCAGCGACACGTCATACAACTGTGAATGATGGTTCTTATGTATCTTCGGCCATCAATAGGCCAATAACGCTCCCTTACTATTGATAATGTCGCTTGAATACCGAAGTGATAACCGGCTAGATGTGCGTGACGTAAAATCAGCATCGTCACATAATGATTCCGAGGTAGAATGACGGGGCGCCTTTGACTGTAAGGCAAGTCAGAGCGTGACAACCTACTACCAACCCGAATCAGGCTGTCTGGATCGTAATTTTGATCATGATCGTAAATTTGTCAATGGACCCCTGGTTTTCGCCGTTCCTTCAGTTAATTGTTTAAGCTCATTGATCAAGGTTTCCCTTTGTGATATTCTTAACACGACGTTCATTGCTTGCTCTAATTCCCTAACGGTTGGCGACGCTAATTTGCGGTTTGCCTTCTAGCTTGTTTTTAATGTTGAATGTGAAGCGAAGATAATATGACACTATCCGTCTTAATTTTGTTATTGAAGAAAACCTTCTTAATATGTTGCACTCTTCAATGATTGATGCGGTAAGTGTTATCAGAGTTAAGTGTTATCTTAGGTTCGGTACTTCTTCCGGGTTAGTCCACGATGCGGGCCATTGATCCTCAGGATCGTGCGGCTAAGAGGGCCCGTTATGCCTTAGGGCATTGTTAATGGGATAAACCATGAGATAAACCATGAGATATGAGATCTGTCGGGTTGTCCAGAGAGCCCTCATGACACCACTGGTGAGACACTTCTATGTTTTTAATTTCCGCCAGTTTGTTTACCACGAAGGTTTTAACCACACTAGGAGAAGTGTCAATCCAGGTCAGACAAATGGTCGAGTCCGACCAGAAGATTGTTTTTGTAATGTATTAGGTTGGCAACTAAGTGATTGTGAATTTTGTCGATAGATGGACTTTACATACGCAATCACTTAGTTGCCAACTCAATACTATAATACAATACATGACCGGCAACGCTTTTTGCATTATGCAATTGTACGAGTAAAAGCGCGATGCTCAACTCGAGTCTCGGCATGGTTAAGATCTTAACCGGTGTTACTTGTGATTTCGCGCAGAGAAGGGACACCTGGCCGGAATACCATTCTGGCCGCCGCCGAAGATCGTATACAAATGTATACGCCATATGCCTTTTCTCTTGCGTCGCGAAATCTATGGATCTGAATGTCTGTATTTTTCGCAAATGATCGTTCCAGTGCATTAAATTATTTAAGAATGGGAACCTGACCACGTAGCGCCCTGTCTCGGAGTCGTGTCATGTATGAAGCTTAAAATACCCCTCATATTCGTTTTCTTCGGCTGGAAGGAATTTTTGATTGCCGGATTCCTCTATTTTCCAAAATTTAATTCGTTGAGACTCCAATGAAACTGTCGCCATATTGCAATGGACCCGTTGTTTTGATGCTTTGCTACGCTTTTGATGCTTTTGCCTGCCACTATCCAACCGAGTTATATCTTTTGTAGTAAGGTCGAAATATTGAGAACCGATATTTTTCCCAGGCAAGTTAATCTATGGTAAAGTTGAACGCCATCAATCGGAGCAGACCTGTGAAATTGTAAGTCCGTCAGTTTAATGGATGATGGAATAAATAGGTTGCTGCGATCTACATGTTTTGAGGGTATGGTTTGATGTAATGTCGGTAGCACCAAATAATCTATCTTCTCTGAGAATTTGGTTCTCAATGATTTGAGCTATACCCTAACCAAATCGTTAATCGTCTTACAATCGCTATACAATCCGCTGACCAGAATATCAAGACGTTTACGCGGAAGATTTAATTGATTGGTCATCTTTTCGAACATAAAATGTGACTGCGATCCAGTGTCCAATAAAACTCAATAATTGCGTGTGAGATTTCCGTTCCTAAGCTGTACTACAGCTGTGGTTAGCATTACGTTACAATGCGCGTCCGTTGGCAGACTTGTGCTGTTAGATGATACAGAGATTATACACTTAGATTCAACATGAAGCAATGTGTTATGTGGAAATTTGAATCGCCGACAAGGCCCACATTTGCATTTATTCGCGTCATGATTCGCACGGAGGCAATTTTGATAAAGCTTTGCCTTTTTGACGAGCTCGCGACAATGATCGATAATTGCTTCTAATAACTTAGCACACCGGAATGTAGAGTGGTCTGATGGCACAAACCATCTTTACGTCCGTGAAGAAGACTTGCTGAGTTTGTGCGCGAGATTCACGATCATTTCTGCGAAGGCGATGACCCGATTGCGGGTTTCAAAGAGCGGGAACGTCCCCTCGCTTATTTAGAGTCGAAATACCTTTGATAACTGAGGCGGCCTGTTTTTGTGCGTTAACTGGCGGTAAACTTGATTGCGTTTTTAGAAGTGTTTCTTTTACCATGTAAAAATTTAAAGAATTGTTCCTCAGTGGGAGAGCCATTAGATCGGAGATCATCACACCATCTCGCATGCGTGCCTTTGTCAAGACGCGAAGATAGGAAGTAGATAAGGAGAGTATCGTAAGACGCTTGTCCTAATGATTTGATTAATCTAAAACTCTTTTGTGCAGTGTTTGAAATGAGCTAAGTCGTGATACGATGCCCTTTGCAATTTAGGCAAATCGCAAATCGTCCTTAAATGCTTCTCTACTATCAACTATGGCAGATTATAATCTCACTCAACATTGACCAAGCGAGTGCATAATTGGACATGGTAACGTCTATAGATGACACGCCTTGTAAGCATGACTTTAGATAATTTAATCGATTACAGTCGTCTAGGGTCCGATTGTCATCTATGGCAGATTTGAATTGATTCACGAAAGCGGGCCACTCTTCATGTTGATCACTAACGGTAGGCAGTGAGATTTGTGATGAATTTGCAGTTCGATTACCGTTTAAATTAGTAGGTGATAATCGCGCTGTAGATTCCGCTTCCGATTGAACATGTGTTGCCGTCATGTAATTCCGTTTCGTCCTCTAGTTTTTCCGTGATAATTACTGTGTCTAGATAATCATTGTCGATATTTTCTTCGATATTTCTCTTTTAAATACAACTCTGCATCGGGGATTAAGCTTAATAGTTTCGTTTGAGCTTCAGAGCAAGTAATGAAGGCCTCCTTCAGGTTTTTGATTTTCCTTTTTAATTTGTCTAGATCTTTATCTGTCCGATAGGCTTCAATCACGTTCTTGAAACGCGTTAATTGATCTTTGAAAGTTTGTCGCCTAGCTTTGAGATCAGCTAGGTTTTACGTGTTAGAAGCTTCCATTGTGGAAAAGGATAAGATAGGAATAGGAAACTCAAAAATAAACGACCTTACTTGAGAGATGCAGGGCTACCAGGTTGATGAGTCCGGAGGCTACAGGTTTCTCTGCTACAACTTCCCAGGGCTCCGGCGTTTCGTTGTAAAGAATAAGCGACCTTGTGAGGCGGCTGGTTTATTCCCTTACGTGTTAATTGACTTCTCCTTAGGCTTCTCACAGGATTAGTGTCGCCAGAATCTGGCTCCAAGAACCAAATAATTTATGTTGCACAATTACAAGTGGGCGCAACTACGAGAGCGATTTTAGATGCGCGTCTCGCACCAGACTAACGATGACAGTCGATTTGCACGGAGAAGTATCCCCCGTTATATCATTCTTGTTGTCCGAGCTATAGGCCCACTGGTCACTATGAATAAGAGCGATGATACTAGACTTGGATACCGATATAGGCTGTCAGCAAAATACCGCTCGCTGCGTTCTCGCAAAAAATAATAAAGAAAACGCACGTTCTTTTAAAGGATCCCGTGAGACTCGAGAAGTAAATACATAATATTAAATGATATGCGTGATGAAAATATCACCGTATATTTGATGAAGTAAGTTACAATTGTTTATGTGTTTCATGTAATGATGTTACACAATAATGTAGTTAGTTGTACTGGCTATTTCTGGAGACTTGAGAGTTTAGATGTTATGAGTTTGAAAGATGTAACTTGACTGCTTTTTTGGCGTCTTTAGGACTATTCATGCAAACTGTAATGAGATTAGTAAATGGAGTAAGATGAGCGGAGTTGAAATATGGAAAAGGAAAGAATAAATGCCCATTGGTCATGGAGAGTTCATTGGAATGTTTAAACATTCCATGTGTGTCCCCTTTGTTCTAATGATCATGTGATCAGAGGATGCCAATAGATATTTCAAAGCTAGAAGCCAGATAACTCTTGGCTTATCGAGCCTAGGCGTCTACTTTCGCTACTTACTTCTTGGCCGGATTGACATATTATCAAAACCCAGATACTTTACTAAGAATGCCTAGGCCCAGACAAAGGTGGCCGTGTGTTTTTTATTTATGCGTTTTGTTAATTAATATACAATAGGTTCTCACAAATATTTACCCCAGGGTAAATATTTCTAATGGTGATATGACTCTTATGAGGAAGTACCGTGAACAATGAAGAGACGCACGTCTCTCCATATATATACACATACTCCATATATATACGCATATATATATATATATATATACACATACATACACGAATATACTATATATATATGTGTGTGTACTACGAAATTAAACTTATAAAACAATAAAAGGAAGTGAAAGAGAGAGAAAAAGAGAGAGAGAGAGAGAGAGAGAGGGAGAGAGAACGTCCTTCGAAGGCCGATAGGAAGAGCAATCAGCATCCGATTTCAAGGGAAAAGGGTGGGATCGTCGATGCAACGATCGACGAAGCAATTTCGAAAACACTCGTAGACCACCGACTATCGCATTTGTAAGCGTGCTGAAAGTTGCTACGAGAGAGAAAGAGAGAAAGAGAGAATAAAGGATATGGACATCGAGTATACATAGACGACGAGTGTCTCTCTGTGCTCGAGTTTTGTAGGCCCTGGTAATTGTTTTTTTATTGACCGTAGAAGCCTTCGCCAAGTCGGCTTTCCTACATACGTGTGTCGTTTACCATGAAACCAGCGACGAGAAACACTTTGACCTTATTCGATCGTTGCCTCCGTTTGAAAATATCCGTCCTTTGGAGCTAAAAATAGTTCTGAGTCGATAACTTTAATGAAAAAAAAATTCAAAGGAAAAACAATATTTTCTGTTATAAATTACATTAACATGATAATATTAAATTTTCAGATGTATATACATATATATATGTATGTATGTATATATATATATATATATATATATATGCATATATTATATATTTTACATATTATATATTATATATTATTGTCTATATATATTATATATATATACGCATATATATACATATTTATTTATTTATTTATTTATTTATTTATTTATTTATCTAATTTCAATCAGTGATCGACACAAACAGAAAATATAATTTCAATGATTAATATAAAAATAATAGAGAGGGAAACAGTTACAAGAACAATTATTTTTTCGTATTAGCAATAAGTTTCGTATTATGAAAAATAAAATCTATAGAGAAAGTAGGAAAAAAGTATCGCTTTGTTAATTCATTTAAATTAACAATGCAATGTCTACGTCCAGCAGGTACACTCTTCGAAAAGTTTTTCTTTAATGGCGACTTGAATGTTTCTAATTTCAACGTATTTCTTTTTCTGCTTTTTCTTTTTTCCTTTCTATATCTACAATTCGTGATGTTGATTTAAAAGAAAAGAAGAATCAAGAATTGCTAGATGTGCTAACAAAACGAACGAATCACACTTTATTTAATTTACTACGTTCGTTAAGCAAATTCTGCTATTCATTAGCGGGTGCAATGTTGGCAAATACGAATTGCTAGTTCCTTGAAAGTTCTCAAATGGAATTTTGTTCGTTCACTCGGTGAACTCATTTTGTTTTTTAATTATGTTATAATTTTCTTTTCTTTTTTTATTCTACAAATCTTCGATAAAAATAGTAAAAGTGTTTAAATAGATATCTTTATATTTATTTAATTTCATGCAGTTTTATAATTCGATATTATGAAAATTTATAGACTCGGACAGCGAGATAAGCGAAAATAATTTCTTTCTCAAGCGTTCTTCATTAGGAAACGTGTGGAAAGGAGAATAATATAAATAAATAACTTGAGCCACATATCCTATATACACACACACATACACACATATAGACACACAAATTTCTAGATATATAAATAGAGATACGTGTACGTATCACTAAGGCGTTTGTATTCATTCGATCGGAAAAGGTAGCTTAAAAGAAAAGCCGATCATCAGTTTCTTTTTTCTTATCTTTTCGGCTTGTGCTACCGAGTTTAATCGAGATGAACCTTCGGCTTTGGCCGATCGGCTTGGTAAATAAATCGTTGCTCATTGTAGGCAGCGTCAGAACGGATTGGTTTGGCTTGCTTCCAACCAATGCTGACATTCACGATTTTGGTCTTTGTTGCATCCGGATTACTAACAGCTAAGAGGATAGTCTTGAAACAATCATTATATTGTCTATAATGCAGATTCGAATACTTAATGATATTAAAATCTCATTCGTAACATATGTACGTAAAAAATAATTCGTATTTTCATCGATTTACGAAAAATCATTTTGAAAACTGCATATATAGGTAAATAAAGATGAATAAATTTTCTCGTTGTAAACACAACGAGTTCGATAGTCTCGTACGTGCAGAAATATACTTAAATATTGTAATTAATTAGTTCGTTTTCGATTTGGTCCTTCTCAATTTTACAATGCCAATTTGCCAGTGCGACACGTGATTTACGAACGTGTTTTTCATTATTCAGTGTAAACAAAAGGGATCATGTATAATATAAACGAAGTAAAACCACGAGGTTTCGATGATACAGAGAAGACCGTCGATTATTGAAAGCTAACAAACTCCTCGCGTGTTCGATACGATGCCACAAGGGGAAGTTGTTCCATGGAGAAAATAGGATTTGTTCTAAGTAGCTTTGATCTTGCTAACGTACTGAAACACGTATTCCCGTCACGCCAACCTATACGATGCAACATTACTATCGTGAACGTTAGTTTATTGTAACGTTTGCAAGTATAATTTCAAATAAAAAGAAACAACTGTTCGTTTCTCTCTCGAATATAATTTCTCTTTATTAATTAAACTTTAAAATGTTTACGAAATGTTGACTATTTTTAAATAATATGCTTATAAAAGTACACTTAACGACAGATAAATATTTGCAAAATAATTTCGACGGAGAATATGCATGCGATACAGATGGTAATTATAAATGTAGGCATATGGTTAGGATATGCAAATGATTCTGTAAAGCTACGAACACGTGTATCAGTGCAAATTACGATACTACATAGGGAAACTGTCATAAATGTACCATTAATGTGTCAGAAACTTGACGGATAACCTATACAATTTGCAAATTACACGTTGACGAGAAAGAAGTACAAATATTAGTTGTTTCGATTTCTTCTTGTTATTAAAACGTCGCTTTGGATATTCTTGAACAAAAAACAAAAAAAGGGAGAGAAAGAGAGAGAGAATAATATTTATTATTAGTCGAGACTCGTACATTATCATATAAAATATTACATAAAATAAAATAAGAATGGCATATAATGAAAATATATCTATCTGAAAGATCGTGTATCGCTTGCTTGATAAAGGAGGTTGAGGGAATAAAATATTTTTTCTATGGGTATTCCCTTACGATGTTACAAATAACAATCATAAATATATAAATATAAAAAAATTCCTTGTTTAATATTATAGTATAATATTATATTGGCTATAAAGTAAAAAAAATAATAAAAAACAGAAATAAAATAATAGAAGATAACATAATATTATATAACCAGAATGAATTATATAGTATTATATAGTTCATTTAATCAGATATTTTTGAAATTAATATTGTTTATTTTTCATCTTAGGATATTTATATACGAGAAAAATCACGATAATTTTTGATATTGAAAGTTCATTTCGCGCGTTCGAGTTCTCTCTTACGATTTATATACTTCACTTTATTTCTTTCCACTCCGAGTTGTCGGATAATTTATCTAACACTTTCGTTCAATGCACCGACGAGAAAACGCTTTTGAATTTTGCACGAGTTATTCGAACGAACGTACGATCCCTTTGACCTCGTATTAAGTCAGAACACACACTGTCGAATAATCTCGTTATAACTTTAAAGCCAAATGTAAAATCTTCGACAATAACAATATATACGTGTTAAAATGTATAACAATTTTCAAAGCAATTTCAGAACAAATGAAAGCTATTGTTTTCATTTGTTCTTTTCTGTTTTTGTCTTTTTTCGCAAGTAACAGAATCGGTTAAAAACCATCGAAATAATTCAATTGAATTTGTATTCTTCATTCAAGCAATAATAAATATGTGTTCATACATATAATCGTTATCATAAGTTCAATAGTTTTCTTTCATTTTTCTTTTTTTTTTCTATTTAAGGGAGTATGAGGAAGTATGTAATGTTACAAGAAGTAGTTTTACCCTTATCATTCTTCTTTTTTTCTTTCTCACTCCCGTATCGGTGTTCCAAGCACGAAGTTCGGATCAATTTTACGAAAAACTTCTACGACGAACAAATAATTTAAGAAAGTAATCAGTGGAGTTCTTAGAACATTGAGAAAGAAGATACCGTTTTCATGAAGAGCCAGCAGGAACATAATGAAAGCTAGTCAAGACTGTTTTATTTAAAAGTAATTAAGCTTCATACTTTTCGCGTAATAGACAACATTCTTAGTTGATTCTTATTTTATGAAGTAAGTCAAGAAATATGATTTTTAGTCAAGAAATACAAGATAAAGGAAGTTTTCGAAAATAATTGAAAAGAATGATTTGAAATTATTTGTTAAAACTGTTCATCAATTTTTGTTCGAAGCCTATGTAACTTCAGCGACAGATATGGATAAAATATAAGCTACAAGAGCAAATGGGGTACAATGCCCTCGTCATGTGCCTATCAGTATCAGTGTATAAGTTGGTGTAGGTTATATTCCCCTCACGCGTAACATAATAATCGGGTTAGTGTCAGTTAAAGTATTAGTATTAGTAGGGTCAACTCATACTTTTCAATCTTTTATATTTATATCCTTTTTTATCCATGCTAGATACGATGCAGTTTCGGTACGCATTTATTTTACGATATAAAATAATAAATATAATTGATGTATACAATAATTAGTATATAAATTTGCAAAAAGAAAATAAGAT